CTTCTGTTGGAGATTCATTAATTTAGCAGTTAAGACTGCAACCGATTCTCCTTTGATATTTGTTTTTAAAGTATTTATTATGGCTAATATCGAGTTTTCGGTGGTTATTATTTGCCTAGCTGTACCTTTTAATTTAGTTTTTATTAAAGTAACTGCCAATCTTTCATGTTCTCCTTTTAACTCATCGACCATTTCGATACCGTCAAGGAAACTTTGTAGATTGGATGCAGTTCCGTCATACTCAGGAATGAGTCGTGACGCTGTACTAATAAATTGGTCAGCTGATTGTGCCATATTTGTAACGTGGTATTTTTCTATTTCTGATAAATTTTCAAAGGATTTTACTGACTGATTTTATGAAAAATTTTTCTAACTATTTCATTCGCATAGTTAATTATTTTATTATGTTTCTTTAAATGATTGTCTAATTTCTGTTTAGTTTTGCAGCTTTTGCCACATACAAAACAGTTAAAAGTTTTCATTTTGACGAATCTAAGTAATTTTAGAATATTTTGAGAAATGTTGATTTACGTGCTGCCTATCTAATTATTTATATTTTTTCTAATACAGTAGCGATATTTGCAGTTTTTACAAAATTTTTCTTAAGGGATCTACGATGAGCCTTATACAGTTTAAGAGCTAAGTTTGCACTAAGCAAAATAATTATTATTACGAAAAATTTTGTTGGGTCGTAAGATTCTTTTCTATTAACTTCTATTTCGTTTACTACGTTAGCTACAGGTTTATTTATTTTCGATTGAGGACTCCCCATTGTAAAATAAGAAACAACAGTGAAAAAGAATATCAATAGTAGAGAGAGACAAGGAAAAAGAAAATCAAAGAGATACCGTAGTGATTAAACAATTAAAAAAATTTTTTTTTTTTTCATTCAAAACATACTTTATAATATGTTATAATTTTTAATGCAAAATATATATAATTTTTTAATTTAAAACATTTAATTTTTTTAAAGATTTTTTCTTTTTATTTATGTATCAAAACAATAATCAAAGTAATATAAGATTTACATTATCCCTACCTATGGTTTTTGGCAACGGCTTAACGCCATGTTGTGCCTCTATTGGTTTGCTCTTTAATTTGATAGAGCAAGCTCCATTACAATTATTTATAAATCATAAAAAAATATTATACTTATGTTTCCGCTTGTCTTATATGATGTCATCTATTTGAAATTGAAATTACATGCAGGTTCCCACGATGGTGGTAATTCTTGTTGATTTATTTGTTGATTATATTATTGCTGTTGCTATAGTTGTTGTTGTTGCTGGCTTTTTCCGTTCTTGCACCCATCCTGGATTTTGGTGCTACAGGAATAGCTGTGAGCCATGTAATATTTCCATGTAATATTCCTTGATTGTGAGACGTTTTTGGCCCTGGTGCATTGGACATGTGTTATTTTTATTTTAATATTTTATATATATATATATATATTTATTGTTTTTTTAAATAATCACATTAGTCCTGCACCAAAGTCACGGTCGCCATGTAGTATACAAATTACTGATGATTAGTTTCGCAAAGGATATTTAAACGCCGATATTGTTTGGCGATCCTTTAGCTAACATTAATTTTTATTTATTAAAACTCAAAGGAAGTTTTGCTGTTCGGAACCTAGTGCGCTTCTTATGCGTGCACTTCTAGTTCTGATTTTTATTTAGTTTTTTACTTTCAACTTAACCTAGGTACATAACGACGCAGCGTATGTACTTTCTTATTTACTAAATATTTTATGATTATATATGTATTTAATATTATTTATATTAATATTTATTTATATTTATGTACAAAACGACGCAGCGTAAGTACTTTAATATTTAATAATTTATTGCTAAGTAAGCGTATTCGATTCCACTTGTATCGAGTACGCTTACTGTTGATGTTGTTGTATATGCGGTCAATGCCTGGCAAGCATATGGTTATATCGAAGGCAAAGTGCCGCCGATATGTGTGGTGTCAAATTCCTTGTGTGGAATTGTGCATTTGTTTGTAAACAATGCAATGCGCTTGGAAACAATTAGTGTATTTTTGTATACACTGCACATTTAAATATAGAACCACTTATTATTATATTAATTGTATGCATTGCCAATATAACTAACGCATATACATTACAGTAATGTTAAAATTAACGAGTTCAATTATTTAAAATAATCAAAATAGTATCTCATTCCAACATCTAAAAATTTTAGAAGTATACGAATCTTACAAAAAAAAAAAAATTTTATTTAATTGAATCATTTATGAATATTTGAATGCATGAGATGTTATAAATGTTGGGCTTCAATTATAAAGCAAGTGTATGCAAAGAAATTGACAATGTACGGACTATGACTGCAGGGATACTACGAGTAAAACGTTACAGCGGAGAGTTGAACTAGAAGCGGAAAATACTAATTATTAATCATGGACGATAAAGCTTTAATTGAAATTTTTTGTAAGCAACAACGTGGTATTAATATAGTTTATTTTAAAGTGAAAAGACTTTCTGGCTTAAAATTAGATAATGTGAAAGCAGTTTTCGAAGACACCAAAGTAGATGTTATTTGTATTTCTGAGACTTGGTTTGACTGCCAGTCATACTTCCTTATAAACGACTTTGTTTTATTTCGACTTGATAAAAAACATAAATTGGGTGGCGGCGTTGCCATTTATTGTAAATCATATATAAAAAGTCATTTGATCTGTGTATCCGAAGAATGTGAAATTGAATTCATATCTGTATGTTTTTTTTTAGGTAGTCAAAAAATTCTAGTTACATGTGCTTAAAACTCCAGCAAAAGGTACAGTAGTGATCCTCTTTTTGAATCCCTCTTTCAAATTGCTGTCAATTTTGATTTCATTGCCTTATTTGGCGATTTCAATACTGATATTCTTTTGGGTGATGCTAAAATTTCTGCACTGAATGACTTTATAGCCATGCATTGGTTTAAGCATTGTGAATAATATCGTGCCTACTAGATATAGTAATAATGTACGCCCACGTCTCCTCGACTTAGTGATCGTGTCTGATCTGACCAAAGTGTTGTTATTTGATCAGATTTCCTTTGTTTCCGATCAGGATCTATTATTTACTACCTAAGATTACTGCGTAACTAGTAATGGCAATTTCTCATAATTTTCTTTCTGGGATTTCAAATCAGTTGATACTCAGTTAATATTTCGTAATCTTAGCACTGTTGCCTGGAGTAGTTGCTGGTTTGGTGCTTCAGTTGATGACAAATTGACAATTTTTATCAATATAATTATTACTTATTTGCATCAGTATAGGTATTCCGTATCGTAGTATACGGATAATTCTCCATGTCCATGATTCAGTTCTGACAGCAAATGTATGATAAACAAGAGAAATAGAAAGTATACAGTGTGGTATCCAAATGTTTTTAACTGGATGGGGTTTAAAGCAGCCCGAAATTTTGCTCGAATGGCTATTTATTTTCCTAAATCTAGGTTTATTAAATCTAAACTTGATACCGCATTACCTATTAAATCACTTTGGAGTAACATCAAAGCTCTAGGTGTGGCGAATAGCTCAAGAAATGTATGTAGCATTGATTTCACATTTTAAATAATGTCTTTGTTTTATTACGAGATAGATTGAATGCTAATCCTGTCTTCCCTTAACTCGAGAGTGTTTCCTTCGAACGAATCTTTGAGTTTGTCTGTATTAGTGAAGAAACTGTCTTTGCAAATGTTAAGAAAATTTAGCGGTTGTGTTGTTATTTTGTTTTATAATTATATTATATGGCGACCCTGCCAGCTCTTTGTAATAAATAACAAAGAGTAAAATGCGCTATAGTTTTCTAAATAATTAAGACAAACAGATATAAAAAGTGTATGTAGTAACAAAGCCATAAAATTGAAAAACTACTAAACTGTGTTCTTGTGTGAAAATAAAAATAAACACAAAAAGAAAAAAATAATCAACAGTAGTGTGGCGGTTGCATATTCACCATTCAATTTTGAAAATAATATGAGTTGGCCATACAAACATGAATAAATAAAATATTGAAAATGAGATGAGTTGGCCAGGCAGAAGAATTGGTAAAAAAACTATGAATATTTTTATTTAGAAAAGGTGATCGTCAAAATTGAATTATTTATAATAAATAAACATTAAGAATTAAGTAAGGCAAAGCCTACAATTGGTAACCCTGACGTGATCAAAAATGCCGCAAGTTGAAACAAGCAACAATAGCGCACCGGATGGAAACAACACGGCTGAAGATAGTAACGTACGAAATGTTTACAGAAACGAACAACCTCGAGGTGACATTTGCCGTATCGGTATCAAAGCACCAGCATTCTGCAAGAGGGATCCACACCTGTACTTTATTCCGATGGAATCCCAATTCCGAAATGCAGGAATAACAACAGACCAAACCAAGTATGATCATGTAGTCGGAAGTCTCGATAGAGCTACTTTAAGGAATATCGCAAACATCGTTCGTACTCCCCCTGTAGTAGAAAAATACGAAACGATTAAGAAGTGGTTAATTCAAGATTTTGCAAGTTCCGAAAATCGAAAACTACGGCGATTAGTACACGAGTGCCAGTTAGGTGACAGCAAGCCAACACATTTGTTGTGCACCATGCGAGATCTAGCCAGCGGCGCCATGAATGATCGAGCAATAAAACAATTGTGACGGGATCGTTTGCCAGAAGCAGTGCGAGCAATCGTTTCAATTTCGGAGGCTGACTTGGACAAATGTGTGCAACAGGCAGATCTGATGTTGGAAATTGGAAACTACAATTATGTAGTTGTCAACACAGCTACACAGAATAATGATCATATCATGAAAGCCATAGATACTTTGAGTAAGCAGGTTGCGGATATAAAAACTGCACAAAGACGAAGCAGGACGAGATCTCAAATTTCAGATCGCAAGCGACATCGTTCGCTCCATACTGATTAAGTCCAATTTGTAAATACGTCTAGCCGCCTGCTCATCACAGATCGAAACACACAATTTAAATTCCTGATGGATACTGGAGCTGATACCTCAATACTACCAGTATCTCGGTTCAAAAACTCCAAGCTACAAACAACAACGCAATCATTGTATGCAGCAAATGATTCGGCTATTCCAACCTGCGGTAACAAGTTGCTATCAATGAACTTGGGCCTTCGTATGAAGTTTGATTTTATAATCGCCAATGTTTCAAAACCAATCTTGGGTGCCGATTTCTTGAAACATTTCGGTCTTGTGGTAGATGTAAAACGTAGATGCTTGAGCGATACGCAAACAAAGTTGAGTACCCAATGTGCATCGGAACATACTGAATATGAGCCAGTCTTTTTCATTCAGAACGACCACAAATTCAAAGAGCTACTAAACTCATCTAAGGAGGTGACAATGCCTGTTTCATACAATTACAATAACGAGCCTAAGACTACGGTTCGTCACCAGATTATCACCGCTGGTCAGCTTGTTTTTTCTCGTGCATGGCGGCTAAATCCGCAAAAACTGCCAAGCAGGAGTTCGAGTATATGATGAAGCAAGGGATTTGTAGACCATCCAAGAGCGAATGGTCGAGCCAACTAAATATTTAGTAGCATAATTATTTCAAAGGTTCATGAACCAAGTTCTTTTCGGGTTTAACTTTGCCATATGTTATATTGATGATATTTGCATCGCATCCGATAAAATAAACGTGCACATTCAACATGTGCGCCGCGTGCCACAACGACTACAGGAACATGGTCTGAAAATAAACATTGCGAAATGTGTGTTCGCACAGGAAGAGGTAACATTCCTTGGTCATCTCATTAATTATAAAGGAATCCGTCCACCAAGCAAGAAAATTGAAACGATTGCAAATTTTCCAAAACCAAGGGTAGTGCCTGAGCTACGTCGATTCATTGTAATTATCAATTTTTAGCGCCGCTTTATTCCAAAAGCGGCAGAGATCCAGGGACGGCTTCAAAACTTAATTAAAGGTAACAAAAAACAGAACAAAACTGTTATTGAATAGACCACGGATGGAGATAGCGCATTTGCGGAATACAAAGAAGCCTTAATTAATGCAACAACAATCGTTCACCCAATCCCAGACGCAAACCTCGTACTTCACGTAGATGCTAGTAACGTAGTGGTTGGCGCTGCATTAAATCAAATCAACCAAAGACAACTCGAGCCTTTGGGGTTTTACTCAAAGGGGTTGACGAACACCCAAGTCAAGGACAGCACGTACGACCGTGAGTAGTTCGCGATTTATCAATCGGTTAAATATTTTAAATATGCGATTGAAGGTAGACGTTCCACTATTTTTACCGATCATAAGCCAATAACGTATGCATTCGACATCGCCACGCCAGCTGAGATATTTAGATTACATCGGTCAATTCACAACTGACATTATGCATATAGCTGGCCAGAATAACCCGGTAGCCGATTTTCTGTCACGTACCGAAGCTGTCAGCAATGAAGAATTAATTCACCTTGACCAATTAGCAGCAAGTCAGAAAACCGACTTTGAAACGAATGGTTTTCTGTCTAATACGAATAAATCTGAACTTTAATTGAAATGGATACTCATTCTAAACTCATCTAAGGAAATTGCATGCGATGTATCATCAAATCGTGTGCGTCCTTTTGTAACTGAACAGTTCAGACAACGCGTCTTCTATTCAATACATAATTTGGCACATGCTGGTCGGCGAGCTACTATTAAGCAAATAGCAGAGCGTTTCGAATGGCCAGGCATTGCTAAAGACATTGCGGAGCGAGTTAAATTATGTCTTCCGTGCTAACGAGCAAAAGTCACGCAACATAACAGATCAGCGATTTTGAATTGTGACATTCCGAGTGAGCGGTTCGCTGTAATTCACATTGACCTCATTGGGCCTCTACCATCGTAAACGGTTACAGATACTGCCTTACATGTATCGATCGGTTTACCAGATGGCCAGCGGTAGTCCCTATCGATGATATACATGCCAGCACGGTGACCACAACGCTCATCAATGGTTGGATCATGCACTTTGGCGTTCCGAAGCAGATCATAGCAGATCAAGGAAGACAGTTCGAGGCAGCACTGTTTAATAAACTGGCCAAACTCATTGGTGCCAAACATGTCTGAACTAGTTCACGTCGTTCTCAAGCAAATGGTTTGATTGAACGATATCACCGGACTCTGAAAACTGCAATAAAATGTAATCAAGGACATCAACGGTCTGGCGCAATACATTTGATTGTGATTGATTGAGCGCTTCGAAATATCTTTAATTATTGTATTATTATTATTGTATAATTATTGTACTCAAAATTGAATTACTTATAATAAATAAACATTAAGAATTAGGTACAGTAGAATAGAATATAACAACAAATCAACTGCAGTTGCAGGCAACTTTAAAACTAAAATTAACAACATTTATAAACAATCGGACTGACTTTTGAATATTAAGTATTGCATTAAAATACTTTTCTATTGAAAAACAAAACAAAAACAAAAAAGACAAACAAAACAAAAAGCCTCAACATTTGGTGTTTACTCAATTAAATGCGGAAGTGGAAGTGAACATTCATAGTTTCATAGTTTTGATTAAGTATTATTAATAAAGGAAAACGTATTAGTTTTCTCAAGAAAATTTAATTAAAAATAAAACTAAAAATAATATAAAGTTGATGTGATATTAAAAAAACAAAAATACTACAAATGATACAACAACAGCAACAAAATTGCTTAACCTTCAGTTAGTTGAGTTCTATCGTCACATTGGTAAACTAATCAGATGTTTTTTTGTGTATCAAACGTGCAGCGACTTTTTGTGTGTGTGAATTACAATAACAAAAAGCTAAATAAATTTAATTAAATAAAATCAAATTCATTTCTTTATTCAAATTTTTCTATCATGCATAAATTTTTTCATTCATAAATAATTATTTAAACATAAAAAAAAAAAATTCAAAAAAATTAAAAAAGCTTGACTTGCAATTAAAAAAGAAACACTAATCACAAAAACTAAGATTTCGAATAAAAATAATTAAATAAAATAATAAAGGTTAAAACAAAAATATTAAAGGCAAATCGATTAATGGAATAAATTATTTATGTGAAAAAAATCGAAAACGAAGGATGTTACATATGCGAATATTACTCAGCCGCTGGTCACATTTCTCAACTATCATATATAAATTTGTTCATCAAGTGTGAGTACTCTAAATTCAACAAAATTAAAAACTTAAGAATTCAATAATTTAAAAAACAAAAACAATAATTTTTATAGAAGATCTGATTAAACAAAAATGTTAAATTTACTTTTGATTAATTTAATTATTTGATTTTATTTCGTATTTTGTAAATACTATAAAAAAATACTGGAAAAAAAATTATAAATATGTATATGAACATTATACATTATTTTAAAAATTTAAAAATAATTTAAGAAAACGAAGATACAATAATTTTTATAAAAAATCTGATTAAGCGAAAATGTTAAATTTACTTTTGAATACTTCAATCAAATAATTTTATGGCGCATCTTGCAAATACTATTAATAAAAACAAACATAAAAAGACAAAAAAAAAATTTGTTTTTATAATTCCATTAGAATATACATATAAATACATTGTAATTAATATTAAGGTATACATTACATAGAAACAATAATAAATTACATTTACATTGAAACATGAAAACATGAAACATACATATGTATTTGGAAAATATACAATAGTGTGACTATAAGAATCATAAAAATAACAAATATATACGAAAAATATATTTATCCTCTTGCGGATTTGTTGAAGGTGTTTTTTTACACCTGAGCACAGTGTTGTATGTCACTTTTGAAATTTAGTCTGGTGTCACTTGGAGTTTGAAGGATGTATAACATCTCTAAGAAAAAGCGTTTTTGTTGATTATTTTCTTGGTGTAACACCTTTATGTTATCAAGGTCTGGCTCATGTTTTGATGTAATACAGTGTGATGCCAGTACCGTTTTTGAGTCAATATTATTTTTAAATTTGACACTGTGTTTATGTCCGGTTATACGCGTCTTTAACTTGTTTTTTGTTGTACCAACATATACTTGGTTGCATAAGTTGGATCCTTCACCTTTACATTTAATTTGATAAATCACATTGTGTCTATCCAAAGTATCTATTTTAGATTTGGTGTTCGAAAACAGCGTCTTCATCGTGTTATGCGTTTTATATGTAATTTTATATTTTTGTTTGTCATATAGACACTTTTCATAACAAGTTACTAAATTTGGTCATCTCACAGAAACATACATTATTAAAACATAACAAAACTGATCTATCCAATTGTTATGTACTCCTCTTTAGTGTACTCAAAACTTGATGTTAAAGCCCTCAATAAGTTACGATGCTTAGTGAACTGCAGTATGCGATATACTTTTGATCTTAGATTCTTCGATCACTTAGATATTTATAGAAACCCGATTCTAGGGTGTGAAATTGAACAATATATGTAGTTTCATTTATGCTTGTTTTTGTTCAGACTTCTGTCCACTACTACGCCGAAGTACCTTTTTGATTTCTTGCAGCCAACTAGATCAAACAGATCTTGTCTTTTCATCATTCCCAGATATGACTTTGCTTCCACTACTAAGTTTTTTTTTATTCAGTCTGTTAGAATATGAAATGCTCTTTCAAGCACAACCAGAAATGCAGATAGCACGGAAGTTTTTAAAAACCTGTTCAAAAATGAATTGTCTTGACGTCACGTTTATTTGTCTTGTGTTTTTTGAATTCTGTTTTTATTAATTTCTTTCCTTTTTCTTTTATTCATTGATTTTGGTTTGTTTTTTTTTATGTTTATTGTAATTGATATTAACTTAAATAAATAATTCAAATTGTTTTATTACTTTTTTGCTGTTAATCAGTAAATTAATTTTACACTTTTTACGTAAGTTATATTACATTTTAATTACTTTTTTTATTTCATTTTTTATTTTATTTTTTATTTTATTTCTTTAAGTTAGCTTTAAGATACTGCAATAAAAAGGGTTGTCCAGTAATGCTTTTAAATGAATAAATAAATTAATATAATTTTTCATGCCTTTTAACAGTGAAATAATCAATAGACAAAATAACGTATTTATTACGAACAATGCCGACACGAAATATAAGTAATTAATCAAATCATTCGTTGACATTTAACTAGAAGTTGTGTATGTACTTTTAAAAGTCGTTCACAAGAGACGAGTTTTTAGTCTTGGCAACCATACCATTTGAGCTTATTAGTTAAGTTGTTTCATATGTTATTTTTTAAATAAGCAGTTATTCTTTTATGATATGCTTACAAAAGAAAAGGTCTATTATTGGGATTTATATAATGCTATGTGCCTATTGCTTACTATTTCACAAACATTGTTTAGAATGCTTTTTGAATTTTCCGCGTTTTTTATTTTAAAAGAATTATTTTATATAATACTTAATTTTTTGTTGCAATTAATATGTAAAGATATGAAAGTTCTTTAATAGATTTTTTGACATATAAATTAAATTATAATAATGTAAACATTCAGCTTTTGAACTCAATAATATAAATGGACAAGAGCCTGAAGCCGTGTGCGAGTTCGAATAAGTTAAGGGAAGTAGTAAATTATGTAGGTAAGACAGCGAATATTGGTATTTACCAGAATTTTGTGCAGGGTGAATTAGATAAAAATTAGGTAAATTAAGTGTTACCATTTTGAATAAATAAATAAACCTATAAATAGGTTTACCTATAAATAATATTAAAGTACAATAAATAAACAAATAAAAATTTACATAAGTGCAGTGCATAAAACCCCTAGGAAATTTAAATTTACTTTTTCTCAATTTACTCTAACTCGTACACGGCCTAAATGAAGCACTGTACAAATGTTATGAGTTTATATATTGTTTTTCTTGTTTATTTCTTATGTACTATAGAGACTTTCTCAACTTTCTCAACTTTTTTAATTTTTGATACTCCACTGATTGCACTTTATAACTAAGAGTTATTTAAGTTTATAAGTACGTGTTAATTTTAATTTCACTTTTTTTCTTTTTTTGTGATGACTTGTTAGTACTTTAAGTATTCACCGCTCCTTTTTAATGAAATATTTATCACTTTTTAATAATTTTTGACAAGACCATCTTTATGAATACTTCTGTCACACCCGAGTTACCAACATTTCTGCTGGTTACTATAGTTTTTATATTCCGAATACTCCTTTTTAAAATTATTATTTTAGATATTTAACTTTCAAGAAAAAAAAATTAAAAACACTTGCAAAAGTCAAAGTTTTAAATCAAGTTGAAATTTAAATTTTATATATAAAGAACTAAACCAATGAATATTTGTAAAAGCAACTAGTTATGGATGTTAAGCAATATTCTTAATAGTCAATAATTACACAAAAAATAAATAAAAATAAATTTGAAACTTTTGCTGAAATACGAATATAGTTCTCTTTTAATTACGGATTAAAAGTAACATGTAATTGTATTTGAATTAGGCACTTACTTGTGGAATGTTTTGCTTCTTTACCAACCCATACTGGTTCGGTGCTTTGGGATATGTATGATTGTTCATCCCATACAGCCTTTTCTTCAAGATTTTTGCTCTAAAAAATGTAATGTAAAGTAGTAATATGAAAGGATGTATATTCTAGTTTATGTTTATATTAAACTTACGTAATCTTTATCTATATGAAGTTCAATTTCATCTGTAGTTTGCTCTAGAGTGCTGTGCGTAATGCCGTAATAAAAGTACATTATAAATCCTAACGTCATCCAGAATGTAAATCTAACTAATGTTAATATGCTTAATTTAAATATTAAATAAATATTAACAGTAATAGCAATTGCTGGAATAAATGGAAGTCCTGGCGTTAGAAATGCGAGTGCATATCTGAGAAATATATAATGAGAGTGTTCAGCAAAATTATGTATTAAAAGCTTTTCGAAAGTACCTGTTTTGTGGTTGCCTCGATATAATTAGTAGTATCACAAAAATGCCGATAATTATTAAAAAATAAAATGTTGCAGCTAATCCGCCAGACCAACCAATAGCCGCGAATAGATCCAATAAAAATATTAGACTAAACATAATACCAACAAGTTTAGTAACGTACATGCCTTAAAATTGAATCATAAAACAAAATTAATATTTTTTTGTATTAAAAGTCATTGATTTACCACTGTCTGCTGTAGCTTGACCTGGATTAATCCAAGGGAAAAATCCTGGACAAAGGTAAGTGTATTCGCTAAGTTTTCTAGTTAAGAAATTGAATCCCATTGTATCAAAAGCAGTAGCTTGGCCAGTAGGTCCTGGTGGCGCTCCATGTACACTTCCATAAAATTTGTTTTCAGAACGATCAGATACTAAAAATTGATCATCACGTCCCAAATAACCCTCTGGACTATCATCAATAAAAGAATCGTCGGAATCTGATATACCACGAGTAACACGTTTTATGGTTAACTTATTGGTATGTAAGACTTCAGCTGTTGTAGCATTTGGGTTTGATGCAGCACCAGGTGTCAATGGTATTCTTAATTGTGCTGGTAAAAGTTCAACAAGAGAAGTACTATGTGGTTGATATCTTAACACCAGTACACAAGTGGAAACTAATGTATAAGCTAACAATGTGCCAATGGACATCATTTCAACTAAAATTTCTAAACGTACTGTTAAAGCCACAACAGCTGCGGCAATACCACTGCATATTGTTGCTAAGCCAGGAACATTAGTACGCTGCCAAAGATGAGACAGTTGTCTAAAGACAAAATGCATTTTTATTAAGAAATGTTTAGGTAATGTACACTTACTTCAAAATAAGTCCATCCTGCGCCATAGCATATATAACACGTGGCATAGGAAACATTGATCCAAACATGGCAACCGACAATCCAGCTGTTGCTCCTATTGCTACAATTACCCGGCATTTTGGCGCTGCAACATAGGACCACATTTGCACTAACGCAGCACCAGAGTTAATATGATCATAAGGAACTTAAAGTACATTAAATGAGAAAACTAAGTTAGATGCATTTACTTACACATTAATATATTTATATGCTACATACTATCTTTAAATTCTTTATTAAAATTTAATTATATTAATAAAATCATTTTAAATCGTTACTTATAGGTTTACGAGGGCTGCTATATATAATTCTGGCCTAATGATGAAAATGCTAATATTTATCATCAAAAATTGTTTTATTGTTTTTAAAGTATTCTCCAGCCTGATTTATACACTTTGTTGTGTCCGGTTTTCGGTGGGCGAAGTAATTTTGAAGTGAAAGTGGAGCGGTGACATGGTGGCCAGCCCGGTATGCTCGCCGGTTTTGGGGGTGATTCTTCTCACGCCCAGCAACAACCGCGGACATCAACAAAAATTCATGGCACCTGTATATATTAGAAGGAAGTCAGCCATAGGAGCAAACATACATGGTCAGCTGCATCAAACGATTGTGAAAGAACGTTGTCATAGCTTGAATCGTCCCAGTTCCTGTCACATTCACCAAAAAAAAAAAAATATACACGCATCATTCACACAGCTACATTACACCCTATATGGATTTCTACTATTCCCTAGGCCACTCCACCGTCGCCAAATTAATGATCTGTGAAGTTGCTGCGTCCTTCTCATCAGAACCTAGGCCAGGTCCATTTTGTCCGCATGTCGCCACATAAAGCGATACAATATGCTCCGGTACTTGCATTTTGTGAAATATTATGTCTTACAGTTTTTTTACTTCGCCTAACTTGTCTCTTGTCTCTTGTCGAACTAAAAGCACAATGTACTTCTTGTACTCATGTACGAACAATGTTTATTTGTTTTCTTATATTTTTATTTTAATTTTTGGTAAGGTAATTGCGATTTTGTCATTTGCCGTGCTACTTTGCGTTGAAAGTAAATCTAAATGTCGCCGGGAAAGATGTCTCAAGAGATAGAGCAGTATACACATATAAATAAATGTACAAACAATTTTGCTTGCTTTGATTATTATGCGGCTAATCAATGAAAAATACAATAGTTTAGGTATTTATTTACGTTAAAGTTATAAAAAACGAAAATTACAACAATTTGTATTTTATTTAAATTAATTTACACTTAATTTAAGAAATAAAAATTTAAACAATAACTTCGAAATGTAATTTTAGACTCAAAATAAAACGCGTGCTGTTCATTTAGAACTTGAAATGCAAGAGAGCGATCGAGAATGCTAGTTCAATCGTGAAGCCAAAAAACTGTAAATTAATATTGTTTTTATATTTTGAAGTACCGTATATGTGCAAGGTTGACGAAAGTTAACATTGGGTTGCATATTGACCATAAAAAAATGAGCAGCACGCGCGTTATTTTAACTACTTTAAAATGAAAGCAAATTTATCATAGCAAAAAATGTAAACATTCAACACCGGCCGCGTTGAAGCACGATTATGTGTTCAATTTTCCGGCAGCACCGCTAATTTGTGAACTGGACGCCTCAGAATTCCGTTGCTGGTATTGACGTCAACGACCCTGACTTTATTGTCGCGACCTGTAATTACGGCTTCCATCCTTCCGAGCTTCTACTGGTGAGAGGGAAGGTTGTCTTCTTGGACGACGACTAGTCGGCCGACTGCGAGATTCGGCTGCTCGAACACCCACTTGTTCTTGGGATGCAGCTGTAGGATGTAATCTTTCGACCAGACCTGCCAAAACCTCCATTTGAGCTCGCATAACAGACGCCAACGTTTCAAAGTGCTCAATTTGTTGTCGGAGACGCCTTGCGCGGATTCTTGCGGCAGCGTGTGGAGAGTACCTCCTATCAACAGGTGTGCTGGTGTTAGCGCCTCTTTGTCGTTTGGGTCTTGACTCAATGGACTGAGTGGACGAGAATTTAGCAGGGCTTCTACCTCTATGAGCACTGTTTGCAGTTCTTCGCTGGTAAGGAGCGAACTGTTGGTTGTTCATTGTATGTGGTGTTTTGCCGACTTTACCGCCGCTTCCCATAATCCTCCGAAATGAAGTGCCCCGGGTGGTATGAAGACAAACTCTATGCCCCTTTGTGCAGCATAGTATGCCAGATCGTCCTTGTGCTCTCGAAACGCCTCTATCAGCTCTTTCAGCTTGCGATCGGCAACTACAAAATTTTTCGCATTGTCGCAATAGATTTTTTCTGGGAGTCCTCGTCTTCCGGCAAACCTTTTAAGACAAAAAATAAAACAGTTAGTTGTCAGATCTGTTACAAGTTCTAAATGTATAGCCTTTGACGTGAAACAAACAAACACTGCGATATACATTTTAACTGGTGGTCGACCACGAATTTTCAAAGTAGTGTATACAGGCCCACAAAAATCGACACCGCTAATTAAAAAGGGTCGTAGTGCCTTTAACCAATCTGCAGGTAAGTTTCCCATTACTTGGGTCAACAGCTTAGGTTTGTATCGAAAACAATGTATGCATGCTCTTACGGTTTTACTGCATGCCTTGCTTGAATTTATGACCCAAATTTTTTCACGAAGCAGCACTTCTAAGGCTTTTGGACCAGCATAACAATTGGTTGTATGGAGAAATCGTAAATAAATCTCGACAAAATGCAATTTTTTTGGTAACAGCAAGGGAAATTTTGAATCATAAGAAAGTGGTGCGTTTAGTAGACGACTTCCTACACGAAGCAAATTGCATGTTCGAGAACCATCTTGGACTGTATGAATGAACGGAGTTAGTTTCTGAATGCTAACTGGCAATTTATGCGACTTCTTAATTTTTTCGATCTCATCCCTGAATTTGTGATTTTGAATGAATTCAACGATTTTCAAGAATGCCCAATTAAGCTCCTTTGTGGTCGGAATAAGAGCGTTGGCTCTCTCATTTTTCTTAGTGATAAAACGTAGAATGTACGCGAAAATTCTCAGCAGTCTTGGGTAAGATAATTGGCTACAGATTAGTTTTGAAATGACATTAGTTTCAATTTCAACTGCTAAAAGTCCGACCTTGACCTTTCGTTTCTCCAAACTTTTTTCATGTGTTGATAGTGGAAAATGACTATTTTTTGGCCAGTTAGTGGCATCTTGAAGCAAATATGGGGGACCTTTGAACCAGATTGAGGTATTAAGCTCGTTGACAGTACAACCTCTGGAAACTATGTCTGCTGGATTTTGTTTTGACGGAACGTGTCTCCACAAAACGTCGTTTGACCATTCTTGAATTTCTGAGACTCGATTTGCCACTAATGTTGTGAGTGTAGACGGATGACTCTTGATCCATTATAATGTAATTTCCGAGTCAGTCCAAAAATATGCAATCTTGACGGCACAAGAAATGAGTGACTGTACTCGAGTCCATAGTTTAGCCAGAAGGTGAGCTGCACATAATTCGAGTCTGGGTAAAGACTTTGTACTGAGCGGAGCAACCCTTGATTTAGCAGTGAGCAACGCTGTATGGATACCATTAGAGTCGCGAGTTCGGATGTAAATACAACAGCCATAAGCTCTTATCGAGGCGTCTGCGAAACCGTGGAATTGCGATAGAATCCAGTGAAGATAAATCCGCTTTGATGGCTTGCCAACTGGTGTCAAGGTGCATAGGTATCGATTCATCCCAATCAAGTTTTTGAAGCCAAAGTTCTTGCAACAATATTTTTGCTTTAGTGATAATTGGACAAATTAAACCGAGGGGGTTGAAAAGTCGAGCTGAAACCGACAATATATTTCTCTTTCTGGCTCGTAAATGATTGAATTTTTCTTCTAAATGAAATTTGAAAATATCACTCTTTGGCAACCAATGGATTCCAAGGGCCTTTGTAATATCACTGTCATTGATTTTCAACGGTTTTTCTAACAGCTCGGTGCTTTCATAGGCTGAGTGGTTTGAGAACCATTTCGCTAATTGAAATCCTGCTTCATTGAGAATATAACTGACTTCTTTTCGAATTGTTTCTAAATTTTCAAAATTATCAGATCCAGTAAGCAAATCATCGACATAAAAGTCATTGCGTATTGAGTTTGCTTCCCTAGGATAAGTAAGTTGATAAATATCGCTCAAATGGGTTAAGCAGCGAGAAGCTAGGATTGGTGCAGATGACGTACCATAAGTCACAGTGTTTAATTTGTACACCTTCAGTTCGTCGGACGAATTTTCTCTCCAAAGTTTAAGTTGGAAAGTTCTGTCTGCCTCGTCAACTTCAATTTGACGGTACATTTTAACAATGTCAGCAGTTATTGCATACTTATGCATGCGGAAACGAATCAGAATTGAATATAAATCTTGCACGATCGGGCCGACCATTAGTAGATCATTCAATGACATCTGCGAAGATGTTCGACTTGACGCGTCGAATACAACCCGAAGCTTAGTAGAGGTGCTCTGTGGTCGCAGAACATATTGATGGGGTATGAAGTAGTGAGGGGTTGCAGAAAAATTCTCGTTGGTTGGTGTCATATGACCTAAGTTCCGATATTCTTTCATAAAATCCATATAGAGATTCTGTAAGATGGAGTCTTGAGAACGTTTGCGCTCTAATGATAGAAAACGGCTTTTTGCTGCCTGGAATGAGAATCCTAAAAGACTTGGATCAGATTTAAAGGGGAGTTTCACCTTAAACCTGCCAGACAGTGTACGTTGAACAGTGCTGACGAATTTTGTCTCGCAAAGTTGTTGTTCCGCAGTATATTTCTTAACCTTAATCTCCTTAGGAATTTCTTCTAATTCCCAGAATTTTTGTACAAGAGAGTTTAAGGAACAGTCATCTGTCAACTTTTCTTTATCTGAGCTTATTAGATTGCAAATTTTAGCATTGGGGCTTTCGGCATGTTTGAATCTTCCAGATACAATCCATCCAAGTAATGTTTTCTGGAGCGTTGGAAAATTAGTACCTTGTTTTATTTGTCCAATCGACAACAGTTCGAAAAAGCTTTCGGCACCAAGTAGAAGATCTATCTTTTGCGATTTGTGAAAGTGTGGATCAGCAAGTGAAAGATTGGAAGGAACATTCCAATTACTCATTGACACAAATTTGTCGGGTTGGTAAGTGGAGATTGAAGGCATTACCCAAAAATCAGTAGAAAACTCATAAGAGTTAATACGTGATCTCACAGTGGCATGTAATTTTTGCCGTACTGTGGAGTTTGTTTCACCAATGCCAATTAGGTTTAGAGTTTTCGCTTCTTTTTTTATTTGCAGTCGTTGTGCAAGTTCCTCGGTTATAAAGTTGACTTGAGAACCGGAATCGAACAGTGCTCTGGCCAGCTGATAATCTCCAGATTTTCCTTGAATGGTTATGACTGCAGTGGCTAGAATAATTTGATCGTCATTCGATGAACTATGATTCACAGAGGCACGAGAAATAATAGGTTGTCCTGGATTATAAGATAAACCTGTTTGAGGAGTGTTAGTAGAATATTGGTGTAAAAGAGTATGGTACTACCAATACACACCGCTTCAGCAACTGCTGTTAGTCAACAAATGCCAGCAATGGCTTTTCCATTTAATTTCTCTCTACCAGCACCACAAGCGGCTAATTCTGCTTTAATAGCTCAGCAGCAAGCACAATTCATTGCTCAACAAAACCTTTTAGCTCGCCAACAAGCAGCTGCAGTTACTGCAGAGCAGCTGCTTTAATAGCTTAGCAGCAAGCACAATTCATTGCTCAACAAAACCTTTTAGCTCGCCAACAAGCAGCTGCAGTTGCTGCAGAGCAGCAGCAGGTGGTAGCCGCCACCGCCACGGCAGCTGAAAAAAAAAAAAATAACAGCGAAATATAGTAGCAGCGAACCGCGATGAAGAGCAAAAGCAGTGAATGACAGCAGCGATCTGCTGGCAGCGAACAGCAATGACGAACAGTATAGCAGCAGTCTGCACGTGTTTTATTTTACAGTAGCGGTTTTTCATTAGCTGATGCTGGTATTTTACAAATCCAGTTACTGCTTGCGGAATTTTCCTTTTACTCAATTTTACTGATATTCACTTCACAACCACTTCACACGCGGAAACTAAACCATGAAAAACGAACTAATATCACGATGCTGCCAGTTGCAGCTCTAGAATATGTTCACGAAATTTAGTTTAATTTTTTTTTAAATTATTTTATTTCAAGTCCCTGCACGGGCGCCAATGAAAAATACAATAGTTTTTGTATTTATTTACGTTAAAGTTATAAAAAACGAAAATTACAACAGTTTGTATTTTATTTAAATTAATTTACACTTAATTTAAGAAATTAAAATTTAAACAATAACTTCGAAATGTAATTTTAGATTCAAAATAAAACGCGTGCTGTTCATTTGGAACTTGAAATGCAAGAGAGCGATCGAGAATGCTAGTTCAATCGTGAAGCCAAAAAACTGTAAATTAATATTGTTTTTATATTTTGAAGTACCGTATATGTGCAAGGTTGACGAAAGTTAACATTGGGTTGCATATTGACCATAAAAAAATGAGCAGCACGCGCGTTATTTTAACTACTTTAAAATGAAAGCAAATTTATCATAGCAAAAAATGTAAACATTCAACACCGGCCGCGTTGAAGCACGATTATGTGTTCAATTTTCCGGCAGCACCGCTAATTTGTGAACTGGACGCCTCAGAATTCCGTTGCTGGTATTGACGTCAACGACCCTGACTTTATTGTCGCGACCTGTAATTACGGCTTCCATCCTTCCGAGCTTCTACTGGTGAGAGGGAAGGTTGTCTTCTTGGACGACGACTAGTCGGCCGACTGCGAGATTCGGCTGCTCGAACACCCACTTGTTCTTGGGATGCAGCTGTAGGATGTAATCTTTCGACCAGACCTGCCAAAACCTCCATTTGAGCTCGCATAACAGACGCCAACGTTTCAAAGTGCTCAATTTGTTGTCGGAGACGCCTTGCGCGGATTCTTGCGGCAGCGTGTGGAGAGTACCTCCTATCAACAGGTGTGCTGGTGTTAGCGCCTCTTTGTCGTTTGGGTCTTGACTCAATGGACTGAGTGGACGAGAATTTAGCAGGGCTTCTACCTCTATGAGCACTGTTTGCAGTTCTTCGCTGGTAAGGAGCGAACTGTTGGTTGTTCATTGTATGTGGTGTTTTGCCGACTTTACCGCCGCTTCCCATAATCCTCCGAAATGAAGTGCCCCGGGTGGTATGAAGACAAACTCTATGCCCCTTTGTGCAGCATAGTATGCCAGATCGTCCTTGTGCTCTCGAAACGCCTCTATCAGCTCTTTCAGCTTGCGATCGGCAACTACAAAATTTTTCGCATTGTCGCAATAGATTTTTTCTGGGAGTCCTCGTCTTCCGGCAAACCTTTTAAGACAAAAAATAAAACAGTTAGTTGTCAGATCTGTTACAAGTTCTAAATGTATAGCCTTTGACGTGAAACAAACAAACACTGCGATATACATTTTAACTGGTGGTCGACCACGAATTTTCAAAGTAGTGTATACAGGCCCACAAAAATCGACACCGCTAATTAAAAAGGGTCGTAGTGCCTTTAACCAATCTGCAGGTAAGTTTCCCATTACTTGGGTCAACAGCTTAGGTTTGTATCGAAAACAATGTATGCATGCTCTTACGGTTTTACTGCATGCCTTGCTTGAATTTATGACCCAAATTTTTTCACGAAGCAGCACTTCTAAGGCTTTTGGACCAGCATAACAATTGGTTGTATGGAGAAATCGTAAATAAATCTCGACAAAATGCAATTTTTTTGGTAACAGCAAGGGAAATTTTGAATCATAAGAAAGTGGTGCGTTTAGTAGACGACTTCCTACACGAAGCAAATTGCATGTTCGAGAACCATCTTGGACTGTATGAATGAACGGAGTTAGTTTCTGAATGCTAACTGGCAATTTATGCGACTTCTTAATTTTTTCGATCTCATCCCTGAATTTGTGATTTTGAATGAATTCAACGATTTTCAAGAATGCCCAATTAAGCTCCTTTGTGGTCGGAATAAGAGCGTTGGCTCTCTCATTTTTCTTAGTGATAAAACGTAGAATGTACGCGAAAATTCTCAGCAGTCTTGGGTAAGATAATTGGCTACAGATTAGTTTTGAAATGACATTAGTTTCAATTTCAACTGCTAAAAGTCCGACCTTGACCTTTCGTTTCTCCAAACTTTTTTCATGTGTTGATAGTGGAAAATGACTATTTTTTGGCCAGTTAGTGGCATCTTGAAGCAAATATGGGGGACCTTTGAACCAGATTGAGGTATTAAGCTCGTTGACAGTACAACCTCTGGAAACTATGTCTGCTGGATTTTGTTTTGACGGAACGTGTCTCCACAAAACGTCGTTTGACCATTCTTGAATTTCTGAGACTCGATTTGCCACTAATGTTGTGAGTGTAGACGGATGACTCTTGATCCATTATAATGTAATTTCCGAGTCAGTCCAAAAATATGCAATCTTGACGGCACAAGAAATGAGTGACTGTACTCGAGTCCATAGTTTAGCCAGAAGGTGAGCTGCACATAATTCGAGTCTGGGTAAAGACTTTGTACTGAGCGGAGCAACCCTTGATTTAGCAGTGAGCAACGCTGTATGGATACCATTAGAGTCGCGAGTTCGGATGTAAATACAACAGCCATAAGCTCTTATCGAGGCGTCTGCGAAACCGTGGAATTGCGATAGAATCCAGTGAAGATAAATCCGCTTTGATGGCTTGCCAACTGGTGTCAAGGTGCATAGGTATCGATTCATCCCAATCAAGTTTTTGAAGCCAAAGTTCTTGCAACAATATTTTTGCTTTAGTGATAATTGGACAAATTAAACCGAGGGGGTTGAAAAGTCGAGCTGAAACCGACAATATATTTCTCTTTCTGGCTCGTAAATGATTGAATTTTTCTTCTAAATGAAATTTGAAAATATCACTCTTTGGCAACCAATGGATTCCAAGGGCCTTTGTAATATCACTGTCATTGATTTTCAACGGTTTTTCTAACAGCTCGGTGCTTTCATAGGCTGAGTGGTTTGAGAACCATTTCGCTAATTGAAATCCTGCTTCATTGAGAATATAACTGACTTCTTTTCGAATTGTTTCTAAATTTTCAAAATTATCAGATCCAGTAAGCAAATCATCGACATAAAAGTCATTGCGTATTGAGTTTGCTTCCCTAGGATAAGTAAGTTGATAAATATCGCTCAAATGGGTTAAGCAGCGAGAAGCTAGGATTGGTGCAGATGACGTACCATAAGTCACAGTGTTTAATTTGTACACCTTCAGTTCGTCGGACGAATTTTCTCTCCAAAGTTTAAGTTGGAAAGTTCTGTCTGCCTCGTCAACTTCAATTTGACGGTACATTTTAACAATGTCAGCAGTTATTGCATACTTATGCATGCGGAAACGAATCAGAATTGAATATAAATCTTGCACGATCGGGCCGACCATTAGTAGATCATTCAATGACATCTGCGAAGATGTTCGACTTGACGCGTCGAATACAACCCGAAGCTTAGTAGAGGTGCTCTGTGGTCGCAGAACATATTGATGGGGTATGAAGTAGTGAGGGGTTGCAGAAAAATTCTCGTTGGTTGGTGTCATATGACCTAAGTTCCGATATTCTTTCATAAAATCCATATAGAGATTCTGTAAGATGGAGTCTTGAGAACGTTTGCGCTCTAATGATAGAAAACGGCTTTTTGCTGCCTGGAATGAGAATCCTAAAAGACTTGGATCAGATTTAAAGGGGAGTTTCACCTTAAACCTGCCAGACAGTGTACGTTGAACAGTGCTGACGAATTTTGTCTCGCAAAGTTGTTGTTCCGCAGTATATTTCTTAACCTTAATCTCCTTAGGAATTTCTTCTAATTCCCAGAATTTTTGTACAAGAGAGTTTAAGGAACAGTCATCTGTCAACTTTTCTTTATCTGAGCTTATTAGATTGCAAATTTTAGCATTGGGGCTTTCGGCATGTTTGAATCTTCCAGATACAATCCATCCAAGTAATGTTTTCTGGAGCGTTGGAAAATTAGTACCTTGTTTTATTTGTCCAATCGACAACAGTTCGAAAAAGCTTTCGGCACCAAGTAGAAGATCTATCTTTTGCGATTTGTGAAAGTGTGGATCAGCAAGTGAAAGATTGGAAGGAACATTCCAATTACTCATTGACACAAATTTGTCGGGTTGGTAAGTGGAGATTGAAGGCATTACCCAAAAATCAGTAGAAAACTCATAAGAGTTAATACGTGATCTCACAGTGGCATGTAATTTTTGCCGTACTGTGGAGTTTGTTTCACCAATGCCAATTAGGTTTAGAGTTTTCGCTTCTTTTTTTATTTGCAGTCGTTGTGCAAGTTCCTCGGTTATAAAGTTGACTTGAGAACCGGAATCGAACAGTGCTCTGGCCAGCTGATAATCTCCAGATTTTCCTTGAATGGTTATGACTGCAGTGGCTAGAATAATTTGATCGTCATTCGATGAACTATGATTCACAGAGGCACGAGAAATAATAGGTTGTCCTGGATTATAAGATAAACCTGTTTGAGGAGTGTTAGTAGAATATTGGTGTAAAAGAGTATGGTACTACCAATACACACCGCTTCAGCAACTGCTGTTAGTCAACAAATGCCAGCAATGGCTTTTCCATTTAATTTCTCTCTACCAGCACCACAAGCGGCTAATTCTGCTTTAATAGCTCAGCAGCAAGCACAATTCATTGCTCAACAAAACCTTTTAGCTCGCCAACAAGCAGCTGCAGTTACTGCAGAGCAGCTGCTTTAATAGCTTAGCAGCAAGCACAATTCATTGCTCAACAAAACCTTTTAGCTCGCCAACAAGCAGCTGCAGTTGCTGCAGAGCAGCAGCAGGTGGTAGCCGCCACCGCCACGGCAGCTGAAAAAAAAAAAAATAACAGCGAAATATAGTAGCAGCGAACCGCGATGAAGAGCAAAAGCAGTGAATGACAGCAGCGATCTGCTGGCAGCGAACAGCAATGACGAACAGTATAGCAGCAGTCTGCACGTGTTTTATTTTACAGTAGCGGTTTTTCATTAGCTGATGCTGGTATTTTACAAATCCAGTTACTGCTTGCGGAATTTTCCTTTTACTCAATTTTACTGATATTCACTTCACAACCACTTCACACGCGGAAACTAAACCATGAAAAACGAACTAATATCACGATGCTGCCAGTTGCAGCTCTAGAATATGTTCACGAAATTTAGTTTAATTTTTTTTTAAATTATTTTATTTCAAGTCCCTGCACGGGCGCCAATGAAAAATACAATAGTTTTTGTATTTATTTACGTTAAAGTTATAAAAAACGAAAATTACAACAGTTTGTATTTTATTTAAATTAATTTACACTTAATTTAAGAAATTAAAATTTAAACAATAACTTCGAAATGTAATTTTAGACTCAAAATAAAACGCGTGCTGTTCATTTGGAACTTGAAATGCAAGAGAGCGATCGAGAATGCTAGTTCAATCGTGAAGCCAAAAAACTGTAAATTAATATTGTTTTTATATTTTGAAGTACCGTATATGTGCAAGGTTGACGAAAGTCAACATTGGGTTGCATATTGACCATAAAAAAATGAGCAGCACGCGCGTTATTTTAACTACTTTAAAATGAAAGCAAATTTATCATAGCAAAAAATATAAACATTCAACAGAATCTTAAGCCTGCATTTTGAGTTTAAATTTTCTTATAATCTTTTTTTTTCTCCTTTTTCATTAAAATTCTTCATAACTTAAATCTTACATTATTTGCCTAAAAATAAAAAAAAATCAACTTAAATACATTTACAATAATGTTACTTTTGTTTCTTAATAAATATTATTACACCTTCTTAATTTTCAATAAAATTTTTCTCTAATTTAGAAATAAATGATAATATTGATTCATTTACAGAGCGACTTATAATTTTTCAGTGTATTCTCTTAGTATAACTGGACTACTTTCGATTCACACAAATTAAGAGTGGAACTAGTAAAGAAGAGAAAAAAAACTAATCTCTTGGATTTTACTTTAGTTTGATTTCTGTCCAGCCCATTTGCTGTTGACGTCAACTGCTAAGAACCTAATACTCTATATATTTTTAACAAAAGAATGTGAGTACAAATCTTATCGAAAATTAATTAAATTTTAATTTCAACAATTGCGAACTCTA